CCACTTCTACAGAGCTCCGCATGCAGAAGTAAGGGGGGATGCCCCCTGATGCCCCAAGGTTGGGGCCAGTAATGGCTAGTCCTCTATCTGCCACGCATCCCTTTGACCTGGTCCCGCTATCGTAGGATTTAGGTTTTTGGTGAGATTGTCTCCTCTTGGTCCAGGCGGTTAAGCCAAGACCCCCACACCCTCTACCCACTAGACATGATCACAGTCAGTAGAGGGTGCCAGATATGACGGACAGGGGTAGCCTCGTCCGGCATCGTTATATGTCTTGGTGCAATTCCCCGGCCACGACACTACAGCCAGGGACAAGACAATGAGATGCTTCTTAGACCGAGCTAAAGTGCTAGAGGAGATTCCTCCAGCACCTGATAAGGAGCTTCCCCACCAAGGACAAGGTCTTGCATCTCCTGGGGGAAGTTCTCGGCCGTAAGTTTTGAGGAACTTTTTCGAGTGTCTTATTTGAATTCCCATTCCAGGTTACGGATGGACTCTTCCAGGTTCTTCAGTTCTGCTTTAAGTTGGTTTCCCCTTAAAAAGCAGAACAGTTTTGGTCCAGTTAGTGGAGTGTTTGCTCCTTTTCTAGCTAGGTTTGCTTTTTCATTGTCTTCTATCCCTTGGTGAGCGGACACCCAGAGTAAGAGGACTTTATTTTCTTTGCCTAATTTGTTCAACTTCTCCAGACCATCTTCGAATTGATAATTACTGAGTTGATTGCTTTTAGTGCTGTTTGATTATCGTATAAGATGGATGATCTCCTGTTTTCGATAGTTCCTATCTAAGAAATTGTACGCATCTTTCGATAGCGTAGATTTGGTTGTATTTAGTTTCCGGTCCAAATATCTCTCCTTGTACATGCTTTGGTTTTGGAAGCATCAACCAAGTTATGGTTTTTCTCTTCCAATCCTTTTTATTGCTCAATACTACAGTGAGATGTTTCTCAAAGTTATAACATTTATATAGCCGACATATCGGAAACGATATGAAGAAAGTTCAGATACGCCGATGTGACTGGATCATAGCCACCAGATATAGGTCATTTTGGCAGTTACTGAGCAAGTCTGATTTGTCAGTACTAGCAGAGTATTTTCGCAAGTGACAGCTTAAACAAAACGTCTGTAAAACAGAGGCTTCTTGTTTTTACCTCAATAATAAACTAGAAAATAGAGAACTTTAGACAACCCACAGATCTAGGAGTTCGATGGAACTCTATCATTTAAGGTCCATCTCACCATCTCAAGCTTCCTGCAAAAAATATGCGGCACCACCTGGGGATCATCTGCAGCCATTCTAAGAACATCAGCCATGAGCCTCGTGTACTCAACGGCCGAATACCGTTCGCCTGTTTAGTTGAATAGTGCCCATGTCAACAAAGTGGATATCCAACTGAATATCACGGTGCGAATCATTTCAGGGGCTATACGAACTACGCCCACATTCTAGTTGCCTGAACAAAACACAAGAAACTAACACAAGAAAATATTGCTAAACCGGGAACTACCAGTTAGCAGATTTAAATATCGATAGACTCAATATATCAGACTTGTTTTTCAATTTGCGCTCGATAGAAAGAAATCGCCTCTTTGCTTGTTCTCACTACGTTCCTAATGATTTAGCTGATTGTTTTAGGGGCAAAGTAACGATAAATCTCTAATAATAATAATAATAATAATAAATAAATAATGGTCTAAATAAATAATACATTATAATGATAGACAAAATGGTCTAAATAAACTTATAAGAACAACTGAAGAATTTTCCAATGATATAAGAATGAACTTTGGCCTAGAAAAATGTAAAACAAACCATATGAAGAGAGGAAAATGGTGTCAGTCAGATGACTTCATCCTTCTAGAAGAATCAGGAGGAGGAACTGTGAGATCTATGGATAAACATGAAACATACAAATATCTAGGGTTTATACAGTCACAGGGAATTAATGGCAGTGAAATGAAAAATCAAATAAAGAACACGTTCAAGACCCGATTAAATGCTGTCATGAAGACCCAGCTCTGCGGAAGCAATAAAGTCCAAGCTACAAATACATTTGTAATGCCAACGATAACATATAGATTGGGAATCATTAAATGGACCCCTACAGAACTGGACAAACTAAACAGGTCTGTTAGAACCACGTATACAAAATATCGATCCCGTCATCCAAAAGCATGTAAAGAACGTTTCCATCTTCCAAGAAATATAGGGGGCGAGGCGTCATGGATCTGCGACTACAACATAAAAAACAAATTAAAAACCTACGAACGTATTTCCACACGATCGCATCAACATCAAGTCTCTATGATACCATAAGTAAAACAGACAAAAAATTGACGCCTCTGAATCTTAGTGATAAAGAAATGAATATAGATGCTGGTTACACAATAGCCCTGCAAAAAAGCAAGTGGCAAGGAAAAGAGCTACATGGCCGATACCCCAACACACTTGATCTGGACAGCATTCATAAGCCAGCTTCAGTTGCATGGCTGACACACGGAACGATTTTCCCAGAGACAGAGGGATTTATGTGCGCAATTCAAGACCAAGTAATAGCCACAAGATCATACCTAAAATATATAATAAAGGACCCCACAATTAAAACAACTGTATGCCGAATGTGCGGAGAAGGAAACGAGAATATAGAACACATTATTAGTAGTTGTACAACGCTAGCTTCAAGAGAGTATACCGACAGACATAACAACGTAGCAAAAATAATACATACAGAACTTAGTTTGAAGTATAAATGCATTAACGAGCGCATTCCATATTATAATTATGTCCCAATGAACGTCCTAGAGAATGATGCTTGTAAATTATACTGGGATAGAGAAATATTAACAGATCGGACAGTGCAACACAACAGACCAGACATATGTCTGCTGGACAAACTCAAAAAAGAAATCTATGTTATTGATATCGCTGTCCCTGCCCCTACAAATGTCAACCGAAAACACCAAGAAAAGATCGACAAATATACCTTACTAGCACAGGATATGAAAGAAGTCTGGGGAGTGGATAAGGTGTCAGTGGTGCCTATAGTGATTGGATCAACTGGAGAAATCCCCAAGCAGCTCCTTCACAATCTGAAAAAACTGGAACTTAACCAAAATCTTTACATACAACTTCAGAAGTCAGTTATTCTCGCAACATGCAACATAATGAGAAAATTATTAAACTTGAGAAGATAGCTAAAAACTATTGTCTTGCCCCTTGGGGCCAACAATAGATTTACTTACCGTGTAACGTGAAAAAAAAATAGCAAAATAGCTTCATCGACAAAGCATTTACACAACAAACAAAAGCACGAAAAACATACAAATAATAAAAAATACATAATACAAATCATACAATTCAAAAAAAAATTAAGTCATCAAAATTTCAAATATAGAAATTTTAAAACATTTTCATTCCATGCACCTCATCAACTTTGAGTGACAAGCGATGGCGACAGCGCTGCCAGATTGTGTTGGATTTATGAGATGAATCTTAATTTAAAAGTGACAAACAATATATTTAGTATATAATTTTTATATATATTTTTTAAGGCAGCAGCTACTCGCTACAAATTGAAGTAAGTAGAAATAACTTGAAAGTGGTATAATGTGCTTACCAATCAAACTTACTTCTCTGACTGCATTCAAGGGTGATAAAGGACCTTTATTGTCACGTTCTAGTCAAAATATTTTATCAGGGAAGCTATATACAAGCGCTTTGCTTCGACTGTTTAAAGGCTCCGGCATATTTTCAATCCACAATTTCAAAAAATGCAGTAAAAATCTCGAAAATTTAGTTCTTAAAAGAACTGTTTGTGCTTAGAAGTACAATTTAAGAAAAAAAACTGTGATATTAGGGGTAATATGGGGAATACCAACCAGCTAGGTAAAACCGACCAGGGCCCGTATACTGTAACTTTGACTTAAAAACGTTACGCTTTCAAAGCGGTGAGCGCAAGTATTCGATCAGCGAAACGCAAGGCAGTCGATTTTGGTATCCTCGTTGCCATGCGAATCGTGTTCTGGTTACGCGTTGGGCACATATCGGCAACATGAGAATTTCTAGTGTAGGTAATAGTCAAAAATTGATAACTGATGGATGTAACTTTATGGATGTAACAATGAAAAATGTCAAAGTTACGTGAATTTCATAATCTATTGTTGAGTTATGTCAAGCTATTTTTCTAAATGATATGTCATATTCTATTATAGAGGGAAGTGTTGAAGAGTCTTCTCAACATTTTCGAGTTTTTGAACAATATTTATAGCTACCAAAAAATCGTAAATTATCAATTACTTATTGAGGAATTTATAGGAAGGAGTAATTTTCACTAATGAGGAAGATAACGCACTAAAATCACAATTTTTTCGATTTTCACTGACAGTTCGACAAGCCAAAACGATTCTTTAAGGCAACCATTTTCAAAGCGCTCAGCGCAATAAGTAAAGACGCTAAGCGCTTCAGACGAGAATACCGAATCGTTAATTAAGTGCGCGCTCAGCGAAAATTAACGTCATATACGCTAAGCGTCTAAAAGCACTTAGCGTTTTCAAAGTTAAAGAAAAAAACAAATAAAAAAAATTTTAATTTAAATTGCGCGCCCAACTGCAGTGTAATGCAACGCCGCGGATGGATGTACAGCCAGACTGTTGAGGACAAGTGCCGGTGACGCCGTAATTGAGCTATGTAAATGTAATTTTGTGCGGTTATTAAAAAGTATTTTCGCGTGAATTGTTTAATAATCTGTTTTTGATTTAAAAATTTTTTTTTTTTTTTTTATAAATATGTCATATTTCCCCTATATCTGTATGATATTTATTAGCTTGAGCATTTGTTATGCAGAAACCGCATGGAGACATAACCTCATTTTTCTGATAATGCCGGTGGTGATTTATTTTTAAACGCATGCACTTTTGGGTAAAACCGACCGTCTTACCCGAGCTCGGTTGGTATTACCCGAAATTCATAGTAATTATATATATCTTTTTTTAGATGCTGTAAAAATGCCTTTCAAGTACAACAGAAAAACAGACCGGGGTTCATGGTCTCTAGAAGATATGACTAGGGCAATAAACGCCGTAAAAACTAAATCTATGGGAATAAGAAAAGCATCTAGAACGTATCACGTACCTTATAGTACTCTTCAGGACCGTCTTAAAGGCAAAGTCAATCAAAATAATAAGAAATTGGGAAGGCATGTAGTTCTTAACCCTGCCCAGGAGGGCGAGTTGTGCAATCACATAATTAAAATGTCGAAGTTGTTTTTTGGACTGTCGAGACTTCAAGTTAAAAAGATCGCTTTTCAATATGCGAATGCCAACAATATCCCGAATAATTTTAACAAGGATAAAAAAATATGTGGTAATGACTGGTACTATGGGATTTTAAAAAGGCACCCTAACATATCTCTGAGAAAGCCAGAGAGCACGTCATTGAACAGGGTAAAAGGGTTCAACAAGAAAGAAGTAGAATTTATTTTTCTCTTAATTTGTCTAAAAGTCTTCGAAGACTATAATTTTCCTGCTAATCGTATTTACAATGCCGACGAAATCGGCATAACTCCGGTGCACATTCCTGGAAAAATTTTGGCGGTTAAAGGACAACGACAAGTTGGTGCCATTACAAGTGGAGAACGGGGAAAGTTGGTAACCGTCCTTTGTTCAGTAAGTGCTGCGGGAGAATATGTGCCCCCCATGTTTATTTTTGGAAGGGCTAGAATGAAATGTGAGCTCACAAAAAATGGCCCAACAAATGCTCTTTATAAAGTTTCAAAAAATGGCTCGATCAACGAAGACCTCTTTTTTGAATGGATTGAGCATTTTGTCAGGCATACTAAATGTTCAATCACGGACAAAGTGTTAGTAATAATAGATAACCATAAAATACTGTACACTAAAAGTGTACGATTTTTGCAAGAAGAATGGCATAACTATAGTGATCTTGCCACCTCACACATCCCATCGCCTACAACCACTCAATGTGTGCTTTTTTAGACCATTAAAAACCGCGTACAATCGCGAGTGTGATTCCTTTCTTAAATCAAAAAACTAGCAAAGAATTGACCAGTCCGATATTGCCGAGCTGTTCAAAAAGGCCTACAACAAGACAGCGACTATTGAAAAAGGTGAAAAAGGATTTGAGGCAACAGGGATTTTTCCATTTAACAGAGGTGTAATAAATAAGGAAGAATTTCTTATTATTGAAGAAACCATGACAGAGGGAGAGGAACCGCAAAGATGACAACAAAAAACAAAGTGGGATAGTGTAAAAAAGACGTACGAAATAAGGATAAAACAGCAAATAAAATGACAAAAATGATAAAAGATACTGTCACAGGAAACATATCAAGCAAAGACTCGGCAGAAGCTGGTCCATCCGGACTTTCAGGACAAAAAACTATCAATAAAATGTCGAACGATTTTGATACCGATAGCGAATCAGATGCTAGTGTAATTTCCTATACAGATCAGGATAGTGATAATGACTTAGAAAAAAGCGTGAGAGTGAATCTGTCATTTGAAGATATTCGGCCTACACCCCGGTTTTTAAGGTCCAGCCAGGAAAAGGGCAGGAAAACACATTCTCAATTATTTACCGTGACACTAAATAAAGAAGAATTAGAGAAAAAATAAGACGCAAAAGTAAAAAATGGAACTGGCGAAATCAAAAGGAACCAAACCAAAAATTACTGAGAGATGAACTAGAGAAAGCCAAGGACAAGCCAAATAGCAAGAAGAGGCATTTGGAAGAGGCCACGGACCCTTGCATCGTATGCGAGGAATTCGGCAAAGACAATGAGTGGTGGGTGACCTACCCTTGTGGAAAATCATCACATGCCGAATGTGCAGGCGTGGAGATCACTCAAGTGTATATTTGTCATTTTGTCCGCCATAAATCCTTACACAACATACATGTTATATGTTTAAAGTTATCATGCATCTTTGTTTCATTGATATTTTGTCATAGAAAGAGACTGTTACAAAGGTTTTGTTTTGGTTTAAGTATGGTCGACATTATACCCGAATAGGTAGGGCAATGCCGATCATTTTTCGTTTTAATAATGATTTTTAAAATAAATATTTTATTTTGTTTTTAGCTATCTATATTAAAATCTGGTCATTGATTAATCACGATTCTACTTAAAGCGCTTGATTTCAAAAGCTGATTTTTTGGAAAACAGATTAAGTTTATGTAGAGGTTCGATAAGAAGGGAGATTTTTCGAAACTGAATTTGCTAAGAAACTATTCCTCAAATATTAAAATATTTTTTATTTAAAAAACCGGCGAGTTTTTCGAAAAAACTCTTAAACACGTATATTTTATTTTGTTGTTTTACATATTTTAAGATTTTTTATAAATTTATACAGGGTGTTTCATAAGATATAACCATTGAGTAATTACGATTCTGCTTAAACTGCTTGACGTTTAAAGCTGATTTTTGGCAAACGGATTGACTGTGGGGTGTAGAGGTTCGATAACGAGGGGTTTCTCGAATCTCAAAGAGGATGAAAACGCCCCTCAAATATTACAATATTTGTTATTTAAAAAACGGTTAGTCTTTCGGGAAAACGCTTGGACAAGCATAATTTATTTGTCTTTTTTTACATATTTTGAAATTTTTTAAAAAATAATACAGGGTGTTCCAAAAAGTTGGGTAATTTCTTAACCACGATTCTGCTTAAACTGCTTGACGTAAAAATCTTATTTTTGGCAAACGGATTTTTCAAAAGCCAAATTCTAACGAGATGAAACTACCCCTCAAATATTGCCAAGTTGTATAATATTATCGCTATATTGTTTTTTCTCATGCTGACATAAATGTGAGAAACTTTTATCCAGTTTGTATGTTAATGGAAATTCTTGCTTTGTTTTATCATTACCATTACAAATGATTAATTCGATGCGAACGAAGTCGCTGGTACACGCTAGTAATTATATAATCCTTGTAGCATCTATTTTAATTGACCAGTAATAATTCAATTTGAATTAATATCCAGATTGAAAATAAATATTTACCTGGATATGGTTTGACTTCATAAATAATTCATTACTTAGAAAGTGCTATGGCTGTAACTAAAATTTGAAATATCTTGACACCACTTCAGGAAACAACATAGTTGTGTAATCCACTCTAAAACAGTGGTCCCGAAAAGTAATCGATTTATTAAGATATTAAAAGCATAGAAACATTTTACTACTAACCTACAAAAAACATTGCAGAACTGTTTTGTGAGATCATAAACTTTGATTAAGTCGACTCCTCCGATGAGAACTGGTACTATGGGTTTTTGAAAAGGCACCCTAACATATCTCTGAGAAAGCCAGAGAGCACGTCATTGAACAGGGTAAAAGGGTTCAACAAGAAAGAAGTAGACTTATTTTTCTCTAATTTGTCTAAAGTCTTCGAAGACTATAATTTTCCTGCTAATCGTATTTACAATGCCGACGAAACCGGCATAATCCTGGAAAAATTTTGGCGGTTAAAGGACAACGACAAGTTGGTGCCATTACAAGTGGAGAACGGGGAAAGTTGGTAACCGTCCTTTGTTCAGTAAGTGCTGCGGGAGAATATGTGCCCCCCATGTTTATTTTTGGAAGGTCTAGAATGAAATATAAGCTCACAAAAAATGGCCCAACAAATGCTCTTTATAAAGTTTCAAAAAATGGCTCGATCAACGAAGACCTCTTTTTTGAATGGATTGAGCATTTTGTCAGGCATACTAAATGTTCAATCACGGACAAAGTGTTATTAATAATAGATAACCATAGCAGTCACTGTACACTAAAAGTGTACGATTTCTGTAAGAAGAATGACATAACTATAGTGACCTTGCCACCTCACACATCCCATCGTCTACAACCACTCGATGTTTGCTTTTTTGGGCCATTAAAAATCGCGTACAATCGCGAGTGTGATTCCTTTCTTAAATCAAAAAACTATCAAAGAATTGACCAGTCGGATATTGCCGAGCTGTTCAAAAAGGCCTACAACAAGACAGCGACTATTGAAAAAGGTGTAAAAGGATTTGAGGCAACAGGGATTTTTCCATTTAACAGAGGTGTAATAAATGAGGAAGAATTTCTTATTATTGAAGAAACCATGACAGAGGGAGAGGAACCGCAAAGACAGGATGACAACAAAAACAAAGGGTATAGTGTAAAAAAAGACGTAGGAAATAATGATAAAACAGCAAATAAAATGACAAAAATGATAAAAGATACTGTCAAAGGAAACATATTAAGCAAAGACTCGGCAGAAGCTGGTCCATCAGGAATTTCAGGACAAAAAACTATCAATAAAATGTCGAACGATTTTGATACCGATAGCGAATCAGATGCTAGTGTAATTTCCTATACAGATCAGGATAGTGATAATGACTTAGAAAAAAGTGTGAGAGTGAATCTGTCATTTGAAGACATTCGGCCTACATCCCGATTTTTAAGGTCCAGCCAGGAAAAGGGCAGGAAAACACATTCTCAATTATTTACCGTGACACCAAATAAAGAAGAATTAGAGAAAAAAGAAGACGCAAAAGTAAAAAAAATGGAACTGGCGAAATCAAAAGGAACCAAACCAAAATTACTGAGAGATGATGAACCAGAGAAAATTAAGGACAAGCCAAATAGCAAGAAGAGGCATTTGGAAGAGGCCACGGACCCTTGCATCGTATGCGAGGAATTCGGCAAAGACAATGAGTGGTGGGTGACCTACCCTTGTGGAAAATCATCACATGCCGAATGTGCAGGCGTGGAGATCAATACTCAAGTTTGTATATATTTGTTCATCTTTTGTCAGCCATAAAACGCATACCCACAACTTTTTTATGCTTAATATGGTTTTAAAATTACCATACATCTTTGTTTCATTGATATTTTGTCAATAAGAGATATTTTTAAAGATTTTGTTTGGTTTAAGTATGGTCGACATTACCCGAATAGGTAGGGCAATGCCGATCATTTTCTGTTTTGTAATGTTTTTAAATAAAATTTTATTTTGTTTAATATCTATGTTTTCGGCTTTTCTTAGTCTTCTATAATTGTATTTTGTTAAATTTAGCACAAAATAAGTTTTAAATTCCAGCTAGTTTGGATATATATTACTATTTCCTTAAGTGGTCGGTATTCCCCATATTTCCCCTAGATACAGATACGACGGCGCGGCGGTCTATTCAACATAAAAAGACTCGGGGCAAAAACACGTACAAAATTCATCACAGAACATCAGTACGCTGATGACTGCGCTCTAGTTGCAAACACGTTACAACAATTACAAGAGATGTTAAACACATTAGGTATACCTAAGGCGAGGTTTTGGGCCTTAAGCTATTAAACATCGACAAAACTAAAATCATGTGCACTCCCCCGAAGATCACAACAATGTTATAAAAAATCGGAGAAGAACTATTGAAAAATGTGGCGGAATTCAATTACCCCGGCAGTTTGATTTCGGATAAGGCCAATATTGACTCTGAAATTCAGCACAGGATTAGCAGCGCCTCGGGAACATTCTGGCAATTAAAAGACAGTTTTCTACAATCATAATTTTGAGTACAAAAACGAAACTTGCAGTGTACCAAGCAATTATAATCCCCACCATGTTATGTGTTATATGGGAGCGAAACCTGGTGCCGTACCGCCGCGCCGACACACAAACGCATTAAAGCAACAAGTTGCAATAGACACCTTAGACAGCCCGTTAAGAACTGGTGGCCCCATCATGTCTAGCAATACGTACTGAACGAAGTAATAACAG